TCAAAGACTCAAAGTCATTATGACGTCATCTAGGCGCCATTTTGTAAAAATCAACTTATGATCATATCTTCATAACGGAAAGTAATTTTTCATTCATATTTATCATGAATAAGATCAATATTCGTCCGGTCAATTTCAGGTCAATAAACGTGCGCAAATGCGCGCGGGCGCGTTCGTCCGCGCGTTTACGCGCGCGCAAAAATTAAAAATGCTCTAAATCATCTCAATTTTTTTTTGCATACGTTTCAGGCCATATGGAGCATTTGACAAAAAATCATGCACACGCGCATGCGCGCGCGTTCTTTGTGCGCACTAGCATTTTGTAACATAGAGATGCCAAATTTTCTATTTCAGCGTATTTGGCACATTTTTCTAAGCATTTTGATAATTTGTTCACCTTTTAATAACGCAATGAGCGTCCGTCAAAGTTGACAGCGCGCGCGGATCTGCGTTATCTTTATCCACAATATATGGGCAAAAACATACCTATACAAAATTCATTGTAACTCTTCAGAATAGATATGAACTCCCAATATGTTTTCATATGTTGATAGATCATTAGTTGGAGATATGATTTCATGTCTCATTTGATCCTCAATTAACTCATGATGTCATCATAATGGCCTCCGAACTCAAAATTTAAATTTGCATATTATGACGTTTGCATATTTTTTGAAAATTGATTGTATCTCTGAAAATATCCATTGTTTTTCTTCAAAATTTTGATATGTTGTAGCTGAGATAATTTCCTACAAATTAGTGTACACAATTTTCCTGTTTGACAAAGGTATCATGGCGTATTTTTGCAATTAAAGGAGGCATGTCAATTTTTCACATTTTGCGTGTATTGTCTATGGGACATGACTATTTCTCAAAACTGCATTCTACATTTCCGTCTTTCGCGAGCAACATCTCCGTTGTTTTGATTTTTTTTTCAGTGAGCTTCGAGTATGTTGTAGCTGAGACAATGAGCTATCTCCAATGTGTACTTCGTTTTTCGATTATATGCCGGGATCATGCTCATATTTTACTTGCAAAGTGGGATTTTAGAATTCCATTTGCGTTTACGTGTAATCGCTATGGGAAATGTTTTGGTATATCGGTAACGCACTTGACTTCCGACCTTGAGATCCCGGGTTCGAGTCCGGGTGTCTCCCCCAAAAAAATTCTGAACTTTTTTTTTCTTGTTGACCTTTCACTGTACCATCTCCTTTAATTATTCGAACACGTAGAATCGCAAATAATGTAATAAACAACCCTATTTACTTTATTATTACCCTATTTTCACTTAATCCATTACTTTTTGCGTGTAATCCCTATAGGAGATGACTTTTTCTCAATTCTGGAGTCTACATTCCTGTCTTTTGCGAGCAATATCGCCGTTATTTCTGCTTGGATTTTGTTGATTTTTGAGTATGTTGTAGCTGAGACTATATGCTATCTAAATCAACCCACATTTTTTCAATAAGATGTCAGGATCGCGCTCATGATCATGATCATGATCAGTATCATCATGATCATCATTATCATAATGATGATAATCATTTATCAATTACATTTTCATTTCTTTGAATAAGATAAAATCGTCAAAAGGTGTTCTTCATGATGTAAATTAGAGTCAAATGTGTAACTGGTTACTGCACAGGGTCAAAGGTCATATATTGTTTCAATCTATCTTCCCTAGATCCATGATGATCAAGGAGACACAATTTAATCTTGACATATGGATAGATCTTAATGGATGAAGCATTTCATGAAATAATATGATATCGTGTAATGCATTCTTTATTATGTAAACCATTAGCATACGTATCACCTAATTCGTCAAAGTGACGATTAAAGTCTAGTTATTTATTATTATTCTTCCTCGAATTTGTTCGCATGATATCTCAAGACTGAATAAAGCCATTGTTATGAATCTTTCAATAATGATAGATCTTAGTCTAACTTAGAACTTCGTGACTTTTCAAAGACTCAAAATTATCGTGACGTCATCCAGGCGCCATTTTGTGAAAATCAACTAATGATCATATCTTCATAACGGAAAAGTATTTCTTATTCATAATTATCACGATTAAGATCAATATCCGTCCGGTCAATTTAAGATGAAAAAACGTGCGAAAATGCGCGCGTGCGCAAAAATTTAAAGTGCTCTAAATCATCCCAAATTTTTTTTGCATACGTTTCAGGCCATATAGAGCATTTGATAAAAAATCGCGCTCACGCGCATGCGCGCTTGTGTTTTGCGCGTACTAGCATTTTGTAACATAGAATCGCCGAATTTTCTTTATCATCATATTTGGCACATTTTTCCAAGCATTTTGATAACTTTTTCATCTTTTAATAACGCAATGAGCGTCCGCCAAAGTTGACAGCGCGCGCGGATCTGCGTTATCTTTATCCACAATATATGGGCAAAATCATGCATATACAAAATTAATTTTAACTCTTTAGAATAGATAGGAACTCCCAATATTTTTTTCATATTTAGATAGATTATGAGTCGGAGATATGATTTCATGTCTCATTTGATCCTCAATTAACTCATGACGTCATCATAATGGCCTCCGAACTCAAAATTTTAATTTGCACATTATGACGTAAGCATATTTTTGGAAAACTGATTGTATCTCTGTAAATATTGATCAATTTTGTTTCAAATTTTGATATAATCTAGCTGAGACAATTTTCTACAAATGCGGTGACCACAATTTTTCATTTTGACAAAGGCATCATGGCGTAATCTTGCAATTAATTGAGGCATGTCAATTTTTTACATTTTGCGTGCATTCTCTATGGGACATGACTTTTTCTCAAAAGTGGATTCTACATTCTTGTCTTTCGCGAGCAATATCTCCGTTGTTTTAGCTTTGTTTACGCTGAGATTCGAGTATGTTGTAGCTGAGACAATAAGCTATCACAAGTGTATCGTTTATTTTTCGATCAGATGCCGGGATCATGCTCATATTCACTTGCAAAGTAAGATTTCAGAATTCCATTTCCCGTTTACGTGTAATCGCTATGGGAGATGTTTTGGTATATCGGTATACGCACATGACTTCCAACCTCGAGATCCCTGGTTCGAGTCCGGGTGTCTCCAACAATTTTTTTCTTCACTTTGTTTTCCTTTTGACCTTTCACTGTACCATCTCCTTTGATTATTAAAACACGTATAATCGTAAATAATGTAATAAATAACCCTATTTTCTTTATTATTACCCTATTTTCACTTAATCCATTATCATATATAACAATCCTCAATCGGATACCTCAAGGGGGCGCTATACCACTTTCAATCATGGTCATCTGGAAGGCATTGTTCTCAATTGCATCTCTCTCTCTCTCTCCTCTCTCTTGCTCTTTTACTTTTCCTCTCATGTTCTGCCCCTCTCCTTTTTTGGTCTGTCTCTGCATCTATCTATCTCTCTTCTCTTTCACCCTCTCCCTCTCTCTCTCTCTCTCTTGCATTGCGTCCCGCTTATTCTCTTGGTCTGTTTCCCTCTGCCCTACAGTTGAAACTTGACTCATGGATAGACCATAATGGGAGTAGTAAACGAAATATGAAATCGTAAAAATGCGTTCTTTATTATGTTACACATGAGCATACGTATCACCTAATTCGTCAAAGTGACGAATTAAAGTCTAGTTGAATTTTGCTCTTATATAGGAGAGCGCAGCAGCCGTAGCGATCTAACTCGCTATTTTAGTTTTGCCACTATTAGTAGGAGAGCGCCAACTGTGGCGATCTAACTCGCTTTTTTAATTTCGCTCTTATATACGACAGCGTAGAAGCCGTAGCGATCTAAGTCGCTATTTTAATTTTGCCACTACTAGTAGGAGAGCACAAACTGTAGCGATCTAACTCGCTATTTGAATTTCGCTCTTATAATAGGAGAGCGCAGCAGCCGTAACGATCTAACTCGCTATTACAGAATTCGCTACTATATAGTTATTTATAAGAGTTCGTACCAGTAGGAGAGCGCCAACTTTAGCGATCTAACTCGCTATTTTAATTTTGCTCTGATATAGGAGAGCGCAGCAGCCGTAGCGATCTAACTCGCTATTTGAATTTCGCTCTTAATATAGGAGAGCGCAGTAGCCGTAGCGATCTAACTCGCGATTACATATTTCGCTACTATATAGTTATTAGTAAGAGTTTGTCGCAACAAATTTCTGCTCTTATATATAAGAGTACAAAATCGCTATGTTTGCGAGATTATTGTTTCTCTCAGCATAGCGTTCAAACCTATTAAGATACGCATCCATACTATCCTTACCTCCGTAAAAGGGGGAAGTTTCGGGGAAGGGGCTGAATTACGACGGTCACCATTACTACCACCTACTCCTGTACTATTCTGGGGACGTGCCAATTCAAGTTTCTTTTCTAACAACCTTTCTTCTTCTTGTCTATCTTCCCTAGCTGCATGTCTATCATCCCTAGCTACTTTACGTTCCCGTTCTACAAAAGCTAAAAGGTCTTCACCTAAAACCCTAAATCCTTTCCTAACTCAAATAATTTAGAATCCATGTTTACACTAACTACTACAATAACAGGTATGACAGGTTTGCAGACTCTTCATAAACAAATGAATTGCTTACCAAAACCCCTATAGCTGGTACAAGGTGCTTGCAACCCAAGTGCGACTGCGAGAGGTCCCGGGTTCGACTCCCGGACGAGCCCCCAAATGTCGCGTGCGATAGCTCGCTTGTATTAGCTCACTAATCTAGAATAGGCTACTTAACCACCCTGAATAATACTACCAAAGGATTCCAAAAATATAGGATGAATGAAACATTTAATGTAACTCAAATCAAGGAGGATATTACAAATATCTTTGCTAAAAATAGAACACATCATATTATTGTCGTTTACAAAATGTCCATATTATAAAGGACTCAGCAAAACAAAATACATATCATTCAGTAATAAAACAAGTTCACATTATCCTCTCTAAATGACCATAACAATGACCTAGGTTTACATGCAATGATGTATAAAAATGTACTTACAATTCGGCATTGAGAAGAGGAAAGAACAGTCTCAACATGCACTGGGTTGCATGGCACCACACCACGCCGGTTCCTTTCCTTGGAAATACCCCCCCCCCCCCAAAAAAAAAAAAAAAAAAAAAAAAAATGTAACACAGACCTCTCTCTTCAAGATCAATTATCCAAGTGAGCAGTCTGTATGTGCATTTTTACTAGCACACGCAAATGAAAATGTGTCATACAAAGAGTCTGCAATTCTATACACCTGACAGAACCTAGATATTGTGTACACTTGAATACACTTAACTATTCATCTAGTGAAGTGGAAATCTACATTAAGCACCTGTTCATAACTGGGCTCACAAAAGAACATCTAATTTGCATACGATCCTTGCATAACTTACATGGGCTCACAAAAGAACATCTAATTTGCATATGATCCTCGTATAACTTACATGGGCTCACAAAGAACTATCTAATTTGAATAAGATCCTCACATAGATAAAGCAAAAATGCGAAAAAAACGTCCAAGACACCTTAAGACAGTAATCCATCTACATGTAATATAAAGGCTCCCATTTTAAGGTATAATTTTTTCAAAATACACGACTAGAAATGTGGTAAAATTTAAACCGTGTTATATTGCATGCACTCTAAAATAAATGGAATTAAAACACAAACATTTTGTTCTAAACATCAAATCATGTATTTTAAAAGTCGTAGGCAGCTTCTTTCATTGTAATATCCAAAAAGTTTTGTATTTGTATCATGTATCGGAATATAGATAAAGCATAAATGCAAAACAAAATCCAACTCAAAGACACCTCAAAACAGTACTCGATCTACCTGTAATATAAAGGTGCCCCATTAAAAGTATCAGCTCTTCAAAATGCACTACTATCAATTGGACAAAAACTTAAATTTGTTTAGATTGCCTGCACTCTAAGATAAATTGAAATCAAAAAGAGTTTGTTTACAACAACATATTATATATTTATAAAGTCGTAGGTAGCTTATTTCATTATGATAACCATGGAGTTTTGTAGTTTTTTCATATATCGGTATATAGACAAAACAATGCGAAACAACATTCATAGACACCTCAAGACAGTACTAGATCTACAGGTAATATAACGGAGCCCCTTTCAAAGTATCATCAGTTTACAATGCCTGCACTCTAAGATTAATTGATTTGTTAAAAAGAGTTTGTTTACGGCCGCGTCATACCAAAAGACGTTAACAGATTGGAGTTGTTGCTACCATGTATGGCGTTTAATAATAAGGGGTAGAGCAACGTCGATCTGGCAATGCAAAAAAAAATCCAAGACACCTCAAGACAGTACTCGATCTATAGGTAACATAAAGGTGCCCCCTTTAAAAATATCATTTTATCATATTGGACGACTAGAAATTGGGTAAATTAGAACAAGTTTAGATTGCAGCCCTCTCAGCTATTGGATTTTTGTTAAGCTGTTCAAAACATCAAATCATATATTTTTAATTTCAGCTTTTTTCATTCCGACACCCATGAATATATCGGTTTTTGAGATAAAACAATGCGAAACAAAATTCTCAGACACCTCAAGACAATACTCGATCTACATGTAATTTAACGAAGCCCCTTTAAAAATATCATCTTATAACATTGGATGTCTAGAAATTGGGTAAAATTAGAACTGGTTTAGATTGCAGCCCTCAAAGCTAAATGTAATTAAAATATTTAAAAATTGTTTAAAAGATCAAATCATATATTTTTAAAGTCATAGTCAGCTTTTTTGTCATTTCGATACGCATGTACTTTTTGTTCTTCTCATATATTGGTATATAGCTAAAACATAAATACGAAACTGCTGTTTTATTGATCAACTAGAAAGCGACAAAGAATAATTTATATACTATGCAATTTAATTTAGACATTAATGAAGGATGTGGAATTTAGATATAATCTCAAGAAAATGCTTATTTTTGTATTACTTCCTCCCCCTCTTTATTTTTCTGTATTTCATTCGCTCTTTTAAGATTCACAAGAAGAGGCTAATAAAATTCAGCAAAGAGCCAAAGAACGATCGGAGGGACGTGTGAATTCCAAGACACCTCAAGGCAGTCCTCCATTTACAGGTAATATAACGGTTCCCTCTTTACAAATATCGTAATTTTTATATTGGACGACTTGAAATCGGGTAAAACTAAAACTGGTTTAGATTGCAGCTCTCTCAGCTAAATGGAATTAATAAAAAGAGTTTGTTAACAACATTATACTATATATTATATAAAGTCGGAGGCAGCTTTTTTCATTGTAATATCCATGGAGATTTGTACTTTTCTCATATATTGGTATATAGATAAAGCATAAATGCAAAACGAAATTCCAAGACACCTCAGGATAATAAAAGCCCCTTTAAAAATATCATCTGAATAACATTGGATGTCTAGAAATTGGGTAAAATTAGAACTGGTTTAGATTGCAGCCCTCGAAGCTAAATATAATTAAAATATTTAAAAATTGTTTAAAAGATCAAATCATATATTTTTAAAGTCATAGTCAGCTTTTTTGTCATTTCGATACGCATGTACTTTTTGTTCTTCTCATATATTGGTATATAGCTAAAACATAAATACGAAACTGCTGTTTTATTGATCAACTAGAAAGCGACAAAGAATAATTTATATACTATGCAATTTAATTTAGACATTAATGAAGGATGTGGAATTTAGATATAATCTCAAGAAAATGCTTATTTTTGTATTACTTCCTCCCCCTCTTTATTTTTCTGTATTTCATTCGCTCTTTTAAGATTCACAAGAAGAGGCCAATGAAATTCAGCAAAGAGCCAAAGAACGATCGGAGGGAGGTGTGAATTCCAAGACACCTCAAGGCAGTCCTCCATTTACAGGTAATATAACTGTTCCCTCTTTACAAATATCATATTTTTATATTGGACGACTTGAAATCGGGTAAAACTATAACTGGTTTAGATTGCAGCTCTCTCAGCTAAATGGAATTAATAAAAAGAGTTTGTTAACAACATTATACTATATATTATATAAAGTCGGAGGCAGCTTTTTTCATTGTAATATCCATGGAGATTTGTACTTTTCTCATATATTGGTATATAGATAAAGCATAAATGCAAAACGAAATTCCAAGACACCTCAGGATAATAAAAGCCCCTTTAAAAATATCATCTTATAACATTGGATGTCTAGAAATTGGGTAAAATTAGAACTGGTTTAGATTGCAGCCCTCGAAGCTAAATGTAATTAAAATATTTAAAAATTGTTTAAAAGATCAAATCATATATTTTTAAAGTCATAGTCAGCTTTTTTGTCATTTCGATACGCATGTACTTTTTGTTCTTCTCATATATTGGTATATAGCTAAAACATAAATACGAAACTGCTGTTTTATTGATCAACTAGAAAGCGACAAAGAAAAATTTATATACTTTGCAATTTAATTTAGACATTAATGAAGGAGGAGGAATTTAGATATAATCTCAAGAAAATGCTTATTTTTGTATTACTTCATCCCCCTCTTTATTTTTCTGTATTTCATTCGCTCTTTTAAGATTCACAAGAAGAGGCTAATGAAATTCAGCAAAGAGCCAAAGAACGATCGGAGGGACGTGTGAATTCCAAGACTCCTCAAGGCAGTCCTCCATTTACAGGTAATATAACGGTTCCCTCTTTACAAATATCATATTTTTTATATTGGACGACTTGAAATGGGGTAAAACTAAAACTGGTTTAGATTGCAGCTCTCTCAGCTAAATGGAATTAATAAAAAGAGTTTGTTAACAACATTATACTATGTATTATATAAAGTCGGAGGCAGCTTTTTTCATTGTAATATCCATGGAGATTTGTACTTTTCTCATATATTGGTATATAGATAAAGCATAAATGCAAAACGAAATTCCAAGACACCTCAGGATAATAAAACATCTACATGTAATATAACAGAGCCCATTTTAAGGTATCATCTTTTCAAAATGAACGACTAGAAATGTTGTCAAACTTAAACCGTGTTAGATTACCTGCACTCTAAAATAAATGGAATTAAAACACAAACATTTTGTTCAAAACATCAAATCATATATTTTTAAAGTCGTAGGCAGTTTTTTTCATTATAATATCCATGGAGTTTTTTAGTTTTCTCATATATCGGTATATAAATAAAACAATGCAAAAAAAATCCAAGACACCTCAAGACAGTACTCGATCTAAAGGTAACATAAAGGTGCCCCCTTTAAAAATATCATCTTATCATATTGGACGACTAGAAATTGGGTAAATTAGAACTAGTTTAGATTGCAGCCCTCTCAGCTATTGGATTTTTGTTGAACTGTTCAAAACATCACAATGAGATAGCGATGAGAAGCATGTCTGTTCAACTGTGTGTTGTATATGATTGTTGATGTATCATCTTTATACCTTTGGATATATCAAGAGCAACAGTGGAATGCAGCACTGTCTAAGATTGTATGGTCCATTTTCCATAGTTGATGGAGAATCCTATGAATAGCTCGAGGGAGAATGCCAGGCAAGTTTTGTCTGAGTTCTAAGCTAAAAATTGTGTGTGTGCCCATCTACCAAGATTTGTGTTGTTTTATTACTCGTGAAACATTCCTCGCAATATGATAAGAGGCAGAGGAAAGCCCAACTCTTCTCCTGGCAAATTCCTGCCTACTTCACAAAGAGGTCAAGGTCAGGCCATGCCATCACCAAAACAGCCTTTTATTCCCCACAAGGGAGTAGATCGCACAGTTAAAGCGAAACAAGGAATGTTGGACTCTTCCATAACCAAAGAAGGTGTGTTCATCGACGTGCAAAGTGTTCATGACCAGCTGGGGAATATTGGAGTAGCTCAAGATGATCTGGCCATTATCATCGGGAATGCTGTTGAGACAGCTGTCAAGGCAGCAATACCTGCAATTGTGAGGGCAGTGAGAGAAGCCTGTGTTGCCTCTGTGAAGGAGGATATCAACCCACACCTACTTCGCAGCCAATTCGAGAGGGATGAAGTTGACCAGCAGATGCGGAGGGAAAACCTTCGTATCATAGGACTCACAGAGGGGCAGGTAGGACAAGCGGAGACAGAAGAAAATGCAGGTGAATCAAAAGAGGCCTTGATGGGCAAAGTTTGTCAGCTGGCAGAAGAGGTCGGAGTGAACATCACCCCAGATGACATTTCTACATGCTATCGGGTTGGAAAGCCAAGAGTGGGAGGAGGAGGAGCTCGCCAAACGATCGTTCGGCTCATATCTCGGCGAAAGAGGGACGAAATATACAATCGGAAGTATGCTTTGAAGGGAAAACTTCCTACAAGGGCGTTTTTGTTAACGATGATCTTACCAACCTGCAATATTCTGTGCTGAGAAGCGCAAAAAAACTCTCCACTTGTTAAAAATATTCCCACAAAAAATAGAAATATCGTTTGCAAAATGCAGGATGACACTTTCAAAGTCATCAAAACACCTGATGACTTGTTTGATGTTGGGCTAACCGACATCAAATACGAAGATTTTAAACTCTCCATAATGTAAATGACTTATAAATATGATGAGCAACAAATGTTTTATTATTTAAATGGAACAAAATGAGACATCTGTAATTCAATCACATAATGTTAGCCCTAATTTATTTGATAATACATTATCAGAGCAAATGTTACATTCATTTTGTATATCACATGTTAATATCAGATCTCTTAATAAGAACTTTGATAATCTAAATTTGTTATATGAAGATACATTAAAAACAAAATTTGATATAATTGCCTTATCAGAAGTGTGGAATGTTTCAAACAAAGGTATTTTAGGCTTAAATGATTATGTCCTTGAGGTAAAGTGTAGAACAGGTGGCACAAGGGGTGAAGGAGTTGGAGCTTACATTCACTCTTCATTAAAATATGTTATTCTTGACCATGAAGTCACTCACACAGAAAGTCTCAGGTTAGAAACTGACCTGAATGGTAGGAAAATTACTGTAGGTATTATTTATCGTAAGCCCAATACTGATATTGATCAATTTCAAAACTCCTTGCTTGTAACATTAGAAAGATTGAAAATTGATAAAGCAAATGTAGTTTTACTTGGAGATTTTAACATTAATGTACTACACAAGGAAGGAATAGATATGAAAGCAGAACAATTTTTAACTTCTTTACAATGTTTGGGTATGCAGCAACTAATCACTTCACAAACAAGAGTAACTAAAACAACTTCCTCTCTAATTGACCATGTGTACACTAATGTAACAATTTCTTCTATTCATGCTGGAGTTATAGAAACTGATATATCAGATCATTTCCCTATCTTTGTTGCATTTGAGCATCTTAGAAAGGCAAGTAAAACAAGCAACAAAAAGTCTGTGTTTCGTACCTTCAGAAATTATGATATTAATAAATTCCATGATGATCTAGGTAAAATTGATTGGAACAATGTAAGTGGTTGTACAAAATTAAATGAGTCGTACTCTGTATTTTACGACTTGTTTACGCAAGTCTGTGACAAGCATGCACCAATTATATCATCAACTTCAAAGAACCTAAAAAAGGGGGAAAATGCTGGGAGAAAACCATGGATGACTAATGCTATTTTAAAATCAGTCAAGAAAAAGCACAAGTTGTATTTTAAACTAAAGGCATCAAATTTCCAACAAAAAGACGAGGAAGAATACAAAAGGTATAGAAATGTTCTAACTACAGTTCTACGAAATGCAAAGAGACAATATTATAGTAACCCCTTCTTCATTAATAAGAATGATAGTCGTAAAACGTGGAGAACAATTAACGAGTTGTTGAGCGGTGGAAATGTCAAAAATAAAGTGACCAATGTAGAGAAATTATTAAGCTCAGGTGGTGGAGAAAATAGAGTGATAACTTCTGATAATGAAATAGCTAACGAATTTAACAACTTTTTTGTAAACATAGGTCCAAAGCTGGCAAAGGAAATACTACCAGTGAATTCTGACTTTACAGAATATTTAGGATATAGAACAGAAAAATCACTATTTTTAAAACCAATAACAGAGAATGAATTAAAATGCCACTTACAGACTTTAGATACAAAAAAGCATGTGGCTATGATAATTTGCCGGCAAGATTGTTGAGGGATGCTGCCCTATACGTTTCAAGCTCATTAACATATATTTTCAATCTTTCCATAGAAAGAGGTAAATTTCCAGACGCACTGAAAGTAGCAAAAGTGACACCTATTTATAAAAAGGGGCGAAAAGATCTAGCTGGTAATTACAAACCTATTTCAGTTTTACCTATACTGGGTAAAATCTTTGAGAAAATAATAAATAATCGTGTAATTGACTATTTGGAAGCAAATAATATATCTTGTTTCAACACCAGTACGGTTTCCGTAAGAAACATAGCACTAAGTTATCTTTGATTACTCTTACAAATACACTATTGAAATACATTGATGAAGGTAGAACAACAGTTGGCATCTTTATTGACTTTCAAAAGGCATTTGATACTATAAACCACAGCATTCTCCTCAAAAAAATGTCACACTATGGAATACGTGGGTTAGCCTTGCAATGGTTTGAAGATTATTTGTGTAAACGATCACAGTTTATACTATATAAAGACAAAATGTCTTTGAAATTGAATATAACATGTGGTGTCCCTCAAGGCTCCGTTCTTGGACCAACATTATTTTTACTATATATAAATGACTTACCTAACTCCACAAACTTTTTCAATTTCAGATTATTTGCTCAAATCTTTTTCATACTTTTAATCCTAGACAAAAAGAAATTGATTTAGAAATTGTAAGTGAAAATTTAATGAAGGTGCAGGAATGGTGTAATGCAAATGAAGTCACAATTAACTTACAGAAAACAAACTATATGATTATGAAATCCAAAGCTAGATCAATAGACAAAAAGGGATCTGTGAGAATATCAAGATCAAATATTAAAGAGGTATACGTTGCATCATTTGTAGGAATTGAAATTGATTGTCACCTTTCATGGAAAGAACACATTCAGACGATAAACAAATGCATAAGAAAGAAAGTAGGTATTCTGTTTAAACTGAGACATTTTGTTCCCAAGAATATACTTGTGTTATTATATAAGGCTTTTATACAGCCTCACCTCTCTTATGGAGTAGAAGTATGGGGGAGCACTTACAAAAGTAATCTAAATTGTATATATTTAAGTCAAAAAATGGCAATGAGAGCAATTACATTCAGTCCACTTAGAACAGACTCCAAAGCTCTTTTCCAAAGTCTAAACATTTTAAATATTTTTCAACTTCATGAACTTCTTGTATCAACATTTATGTATGATTTGGTAAAAGTTTTTTACCACACTCTTTAGTGGATTATTGTCAGATGATACAGCATATATATGCAACTAGGAGAAAAGAAAGTGGCTTACTTTATCAACCAAAATGTAAGACAACGCAAGGGCAATTTTGTATTTCGTTCGTAGGAACAAAGCTGTGGAATGATCTGCCAGATGAAATTAGATTAAAAACATCAAGGTTATCTTTTCGGAGACATCTTTCCACCTACCTTCTATGTAAATGACATGGGCTCAATCCCACCCCCTTCGTTTTTTCCTTTTATATTACTTGTCTTCCTTTTATATATGTATACACTTATAGCGGCCTTAAGCTTTTACAGGATTTGTGCATGTACGTACATGTGTATGATTATTTTTATTAATACATCCTTTTCATTTTTATGAACACATTGATGATTTTATTTCTTCAAAGATTTGTTTTCTTTCATTATTATACATGTAATATAACGGAGCCCATTTTAAGGTATCATCTTTTCAAAATGCACGACTAGAAATGTTGTCAAACTTGAACCGTGTTAGATTACCTGCACTCTAAAATAAATGGAATTAAAACACAAACATTTTGTTCAAAACATCAAATCATATATTTTTAAAGTCGTAGGCAGTTTTTTTCATTATAATATCCATGGAGTTTTTTAGTTTTCTCATATATCGGTATATAAATAAAGCATTAATATGAAACGAAATTCCAAGACACCTCAAGACAGTACTCGATCTACACAAAATATATAGGTGCCCCTTTACAAATATCATCTTTTTTTTTTTAGACGACCTGAAATGGGAAAAAACTAAAACTGGTTTAGATTGCAGCCCTCAAAGCTAAATGTAATTAAAATATTTAAAAATTGTTCAAAAATCAAATCATGTATTTTTAAAGTCATAGTCAGGTTTTTTGTCATTTCGATACGCATGTACTTTTTGTTCTTCTCATATATTGGTATATAGCTAAAACATAAATACGAAACTGCTGTTTTATTGATCCACTAGAAAGCGACAAAGAATAATTTATATACTATGCAATTTAATTTAGACATTAATGAAGGATGTGGAATTTAGATATATCTCAAGAAAATGCTTATTTTTTGTATCACTTCCTCCCCCTCTTTATTTTTCTGTATTTCATTCGCTCTTTTAAGATTCACAAGAAGAGGCTAATGAAATTCAGCAAAGAGCCAAAGAACGATCGGAGGGACGTGTGAATTCCAAGACACCTCAAGGCAGTCCTCCATTTACAGGTAATATAACGGTTCCCTCTTTACAAATATCATATTTTTATATTGGACGACTTGAAATCGGGTAAAACTAAAACTGGTTTAGATTGCCTGCACTATAAAATAAAAGGAATAACAAAAAAAAAAAGACATTTTGTTCAATACATCAAATCATATATTTTTAAAGGCAGCTTTTTCAGTATAATATCCATGGAGTTTTGGATTTGTCTCATATATCGGTATATAGATAAAGCATAAATGAGAAACGAAATTCCAAGACACCTCAGGATAATAAAACATCTACATGTAATATAACGGAGCCCATTTTAAGGTATCATCTTTTCAAAATGCACGACTAGAAATGTTGTCAAACTTGAACCGTGTTAGATTACCTGCACTCTAAAATAAATGGAATTAAAACACAAACATTTTGTTCAAAACATCAAATCATATATTTTTAAAGTCGTAGGCAGTTTTTTTCATTATAATATCCATGGAGTTTTTTAGTGTTCTCATATATCGGTATATAAATAAAGCATTAATATGAAACGAAATTCCAAGACACCTCAAGACAGTACTCGATCTACACAAAATATATAGGTGCCCCTTTACAAATATCATCTTTTTTTTTTTAGACGACCTGAAATGGGAAAAAACTAAAACTGGTTTAGATTGCAGCCCTCAAAGCTAAATGGAATTAAAATAAAACAAATGTTAAAAAATCAAATTATATATTTTTAAAGTCGTAGTCAGCTTTTTTTCTTCAATTCGATACCCATTAATTTCTTGTTTTTCTTCTTGGTATAAAGTTAAAACATAAAAAAAAAAAAAAAAAATTATTAATTAACTACCAATCGCCAAAGAATAATTTATATACTATGCAATTTAATTTGTTTAATTAATGAAGGATGTGGAATGAAGATAAAATCTCAATATTTTTTATTTGTGTATTCCTTCCTCCCCCTCTTTATTATTCTGTATTTCATTCGCTCTTTTTAGATTCACAAGAAGAGGCTGATAACATTCAGCAAAGAGCCAAAGAACGATCGGAGGGACGTGTGAATTCTAAGACACCTCAAGGTAGTACTCCAGTTACAGGTTATATAACGGTCCCTCTTTACTATTATCATCTTTTTAAAATGGACGACTTGAAATGGGGTAAAACTAAAACTGGTTTAGATTGGCTGCACTCTTAAATAAATGGAATTACAAAACAAACAATTAAATTTGTTCAAAACATCAAATCATATATTTTTAAAGTCGTAGGCAGCTTTTTTCAGTATAATATCCATGGAGTTTTGCACTTTTCTCATATATCGGTATATAGATAAAGCAAAAATGAGAAACGAAATTCCAAGACATCTCAGGATAATAAAACATCTACATGTAATATAACGGAGCCCATTTTAAGGTATCATCTTTTCAAAATGCACGACTAGAAATGTTGTCAAACTTGAACCGTGTTAGATTACCTGCACTCTAAAATAAATGGAATTAAAACACAAACATTTTGTTCAAAACATCAAATCATATATTTTTAAAGTCGTAGGCAGTTTTTTTCATTATAATATCCATGGAGTTGTTTTAGTTTTCTCATATATCGGTATATAAATAAAGCATTAATATGAAACGAAATTCCAAGACACCTCAAGACAGTACTCGATCTACACAAAATATATAGGTGCCCCTTTACAAATATCATCTTTTTTTTTTTAGACGACCTGAAATGGGAAAAAACTAAAACTGGTTTAGATTGCAGCCCTCAAAGCTAAATGGAATTAAAATAAAACAAATGTTAAAAAATCAAATTATATATTTTTAAAGTCGTAGTCAGCTTTTTTTCTTCAATTCGATACCCATGAATTTCTTGTTTTTCTTCTTGGTATAAAGTTAAAACATAAATACAAAACTAATATTTTATTAATTAACTACCAATCGCCAAAGAATAATTTATATACTATGCAATTTAATTTGTTTAATTAATGAAGGATGTGGAATTAAGATAAAATCTCAATATTTTTTATTTGTGTATTCCTTCCTCCCCCTCTTTATTATTCTGTATTTCATTCGCTCTTTTAAGATTCACAAGAAGAGGCTGATAACATTCAGCAAAGAGCCAAAGAACGATCGGAGGGACGTGTGAATTCTAAGACACCTCAAGGTAGTACTCCAGTTACAGGTTATATAACGGTCCCTCTTTACTATTATCATCTTTTTAAAATGGACGACTTGAAATGGGGTAAAACTAAAGCTGGTTTAGATTGGCTGCACTCTTAAATAAATGGAATTACAAAACAAACAATTAAATTTGTTCAAAACATCAAATCATATATTTTTAAAGTCGTAGGCAGCTTTTTTCAGTATAATATCCATGGAGTTTTGCACTTTTCTCATATATCGGTATATAGATAAAGCAAAAATGAGAAACGAAATTCCAAGACACCTCAAAACAGAAATTCATTTACAGAAAATATAACTGAGCCCCTTCTAAAGTATCATCTGTCCAAAATGCATGAATAGAAATTGTATAAAACTTAGACTGGTTGAGATTGCCTAGACTCTAAGATAATTTTTTTTTGTTCAAGAGTATGTTAAAAACAGCATATTATATATTTATTAAAGTCGCGGGAAGCTTTTTTCAATATGATAGACATGGAGTTGTGTAGTTTTCTCATATATCGGTATATAGATAAAACAATGCAAAAAAAAGCCAAGACACCTCAAGACAGTACTCGATCTAAAGGTAACATAAAGGTGCCCCCTTTAAAAATATCATCTTATCATATTGGACGACTAGAAATTGGGTAAATTAGAACTAGTTTAGATTGCAGCCCTCTCAGCTATTGGATTTTTGTTAAACTGTTCAAAACATCAAATCATATATTTTTAATTTCAGCTTTTTTCATTCCGACACCCATGAATATATCGTTTTTTGAGATAACTTGTTTAGATTGCCTGCACTATAAAATAAAAGGAATAACAAAAAAAAAGACATTTTGTTCAAAACATCAAATCATATATTTTTAAAGTCGTAGGCAGCTTTTTTCAGTATAATATCCATGGAGTTTTGCACTTTTCTCATATATCGGTATATAGATAAAGCAAAAATGAGAAACGAAATTCCAAGACATCTCAGGATAATAAAACATCTACATGTAATATAACGGAGCCCATTTTAAGGTATCATCTTTTCAAAATGCACGACTAGAAATGTTGTCAAACTTGAACCGTGTTAGATTACCTGCACTCTAAAATAAATGGAATTAAAACACAAACATTTTGTTCAAAACATCAAATCATATATTTTTAAAGTCGTAGGCAGTTTTTTTCATTATAATATCCATGGAGTTGTTTTAGTTTTCTCATATATCGGTATATAAATAAAGCATTAATATGAAACGAAATTCCAAGACACCTCAAGACAGTACTCGATCTACACAAAATATATAGGTGCCCCTTTACAAATATCATCTTTTTTTTTTTAGACGACCTGAAATGGGAAAAAACTAAAACTGGTTTAGATTGCAGCCCTCAAAGCTAAATGGAATTAAAATAAAACAAATGTTAAAAAATCAAATTATATATTTTTAAAGTCGTAGTCAGCTTTTTTTCTTCAATTCGATACCCATGAATTTCTTGTTTTTCTTCTTGGTATAAAGTTAAAACATAAATACAAAACTAATATTTTATTAATTAACTACCAATCGCCAAAGAATAATTTATATACTATGCAATTTAATTTGTTTAATTAATGAAGGATGTGGAATTAAGATAAAATCTCAATATTTTTTATTTGTGTATTCCTTCCTCCCCCTCTTTATTATTCTGTATTTCATTCGCTCTTTTAAGATTCACAAGAAGAGGCTGATAACATTCAGCAAAGAGCCAAAGAACGATCGGAGGGACGTGTGAATTCTAAGACACCTCAAGGTAGTACTCCAGTTACAGGTTATATAACGGTCCCTCTTTACTATTATCATCTTTTTAAAATGGACGACTTGAAATGGGGTAAAACTAAAGCTGGTTTAGATTGGCTGCACTCTTAAATAAATGGAATTACAAAACAAACAATTAAATTTGTTCAAAACATCAAATCATATATTTTTAAAGTCGTAGGCAGCTTTTTTCAGTATAATATCCATGGAGTTTTGCACTTTTCTCATATATCGGTATATAGATAAAGCAAAAATGAGAAACGAAATTCCAAGACACCTCAAAACAGAAATTCATTTACAGAAAATATAACTGAGCCCCTTCTAAAGTATCATCTGTCCAAAATGCATGAATAGAAATTGTATAAAACTTAGACTGGTTGAGATTGCCTAGACTCTAAGATAATTTTTTTTTGTTCAAGAGTATGTTAAAAACAGCATATTATATATTTATTAAAGTCGCGGGAAGCTTTTTTCAATATGATAGACATGGAGTTGTGTAGTTTTCTCATATATCGGTATATAGATAAAACAATGCAAAAAAAAGCCAAGACACCTCAAGACAGTACTCGATCTAAAGGTAACATAAAGGTGCCCCCTTTAAAAATATCATCTTATCATATTGGACGACTAGAAATTGGGTAAATTAGAACTAGTTTAGATTGCAGCCCTCTCAGCTATTGGATTTTTGTTAAACTGTTCAAAACATCAAATCATATATTTTTAATTTCAGCTTTTTTCATTCCGACACCCATGAATATATCGTTTTTTGAGATAACTTGTTTAGATTGCCTGCACTATAAAATAAAAGGAATAACAAAAAAAAAGACATTTTGTTCAAAACATCAAATCATATATTTTTAAAGTCGTAGGCAGCTTTTTTCAGTATAATATCCATGGAGTTGTGTACTTGTCTCATATATCGGTATATAGATAAAGCATAAATGAGAAACGAAATTCCAAGACACCTCAATACATTACTTGATCTACATGTAACATAATGGTGCCCCTTTAAAAATATCATTTAAGACGACTAGCAATTGTGTTAAATTAAAACTGGTTTAGATTGCACCCCTCTCAGCTAAATGGAATCAAAAAAAGAAATTGTTCAAAACATCAAATCATATATTTTTAAAGTCGTAGTCAGCTTTTTTTCATTTTGATACTCATGGATTTTTTGTTCTACTCATATCTTGGTATATAGCTAAAACATTAAATACGAAACGAATGTTTTATTAATCAACTACTAAGCGCCAAAGAATAATCTATATACTATGCAATTTAATTTTAGAAATTAATGAAGGATGTGGAATTTAGATAAAATTTCAAGAATTTTGTTTGTGTATTCCTTCCTCCCCTTCGTTATTATTCTGTATTTCATTCGCTCTTTTAAGATTCACAAGAAGAGGCTAATAACATTCAGCAAAGAGCCAAAGAACGATCGGAGGGACGTGTAAATTCCAAGACACCTCAAGGCAGTCCTCCATTTACAGGTAATATAACGGTTCCCTCTTCACAAATATCATCTTTTTAAATTGGACGACTTGAAATGGGGTAAAACTAAAACTGGTTTAGATTGCCTGCACTATAAAATAAAAGGAATAACAAAACAAAAAAGACATTTTGTTCAATACATCAAATCATATATTTTTAAAGGCAGCTTTTTTTAGTATAATATCCATGGAGTTTTGGACTTGTCTCATATATCGGTATATAGATAAAGCATAAATGAGAAACGAAATTCCAAGACACCTCAATACATTACTTGATCTACATGTAACATAAATGTGCCCCTTTAAAAATAAAATTTAAGACGACTAGCAATTGTGTAAAATTAAAACTGGTTTAGATTGCAGCCCTCTTTGCTAAATGGAATTAAAAAAGAAATTGTTCAAAACATCAAATCATATATTTTTAAAATCGTAGTCAGTTTATTTTCATTTCGCTACCCAGGGATTTTTTGTTCTACTCATATCTTGGTATATAGCTAAAACATTAATACGAAACAAATGTTTTATTAATTAACTACTAAGCGCCAAATAATAATCTATATACTTTGCAATTTAATTTTAGAAATTAATGAAGGATGTTGAATTTAGATAAAATCTCAATATTTTTTTTTTTGGTATTCCTTCCACCCCTTCTTTATTATTCTGTATTTCATTCGCTCTTTTAAGATTCACAAGAAGAGGCTAATAACATTCAGCAAAGAGCCAAAGAACGATCGGAGGGACGTGTGAATTCCAAGACACCTCAAGGCAGTCCTCCATTTACAGGTAATATAACGGTCCCTCTTTACAAATATTATCTTTTTAAATTGGACGACTTGAAATGGGGCAAAACTAAAACTGGTTTAGATTGCCTGCACTCCAAAATAAAAGGAATAACAAAAAAAAGACATTTTGTTCAAAACATCAAATCATATATTTTTTAAAGTCGTAGGCAGTTTTTTTTCAGTATAATATCCATGGAGTTTTGTACTTTTCTTATATATCGGTACATAAATAAATCATAAATGCAAAACGAAATTCCAAGACACCTCAAGACATTACTCGATCTACATGTTACATAAAGGTGCCCCTATAACTCGTATCCTGCCACAGGGCTACCCCCCCCCCCCCCGTGCCAGATTTATAACGAGATAATCGGATTAACGCGATGGTACTAACAAAAACGCATGCAAAACACTAGGCACAGTTCAATGGGCATGAACAATAACTGCTATTACGAACGCGTGCTAGCATACAAGAAGCCGAGTAACAATAGCGTGCATGCAGCCTCATGGCAGGCTATGAGTTAAAAAATATCATTTAAGACGACTAGAAATTGTGTAAAATTAAAACTGGTTTAGATTGCACCCCTCTCAGCTAAGGCGAGGCGTCAAAAATATCGATACCAGCAGGCTGCCGCCTCACGTATTGGCGCATCGAGGCTGCAATTACGGCCGAAGCCTGGCTGGGGCAATTATTTTTCTTTTGTTAGCCCAGCCGGCTTGCGCCAGGCTGGGATCTGAGGCTCGGTTTCCATTCGAAAGGCGGCAGCCGGCGTATGCTTTTGAACGCCATTTCCTACCGCCAGCGGTAGCCGGCTGAGCTAATTTTAAAAATGCAGCCAGGACGCACAAGTGCAGTTAGCTGCCGCTGGCTGGTATATTTATTTTTGACGCCTCGCCTAAATGGAATCAAAAAAAGAAATTGTTCAAAACATCAAATCATATATTTTTAAAGTCGTAGTCAGCTTTTTTTTCATTTTGATACTCATGGATTTTTTGTTCTACTCATATCTTGGTATATACCTAAAACATTTATACGAAACGAATGTTTTATTAATCAACTACTAAGCGCCAAAGAATAATCTATATACTATGCAATTTAATTTTAGAAATTAATGAAGGATGTGGAATTTAGATAAAATTTCAAGAATTTTGTTTGTGTATTCCTTCCTCCCCCTCTTTATTATTCTGTATTTCATTCGCTCTTTTAAGATTCACAAGAAGAGGCTAATAACATTCAGCAAAGAGCCAAAGAACGATCGGAGGGACGTGTGAATTCCAAGACACCTCAAGGCAGTCCTCCATTTACAGGTAATATAATGGTCCCTCTTTACAAATATTATCTTTTTAAATTGGACGACTTGAAATGGGGTAAAACTAAAACTGGTTTAGATTGCCTGCACTCCAAAATAAAAGGAATAACAAAAAAAAAAGACATTTTGTTCAAAACATCAAATCATATATTTTTTAAAGTCGTAGGCAGTTTTTTTTCAGTATAATATCCATGGAGTTTTGTACTTTTCTTATATATCGGTACATAAATAAATCATAAATGCAAAACGAAATTCCAAGACACCTCAAGACATTACTCGATCTACATGTAACATAAAGGTGCCCCTATAACTCGTATCCTGCCACAGGGCTCCCCCCCCCCCCCGTGCCAGATTTATAACGAGATAATCGGATTAACGCGATGGTACTAACAAAAACGCATGCAAAACACTAGGCACAGTCCAATGGGCATGAACAATAACTGCTATTACGAACGCGTGCTAGCATACAAGAAGCCGAGTAACAATAGCGTGCATGCAGCCTCATGGCAGGCTATGAGTTAAAAATATCATTTAAGACGACTAGAAATTGTGTAAAATTAAAACTGGTTTAGATTGCACCCCTCTCAGCTAAATGGAATCAAAAAAAAAAATTGTTCAAAACATCAAATCATATATTTTTAAAGTCGTAGTCAGCTTTTTTTTCATTTTGATACTCATGGATTTTTTGTTCTACTCATATCTTGGTATATAGCTAAAACATTTATACGAAACGAATGTTTTATTAATCAACTTCTAAGTGCCAAAGAATAATCTATATACTATGCAATTTAATTTTAGAAATTAATGAAGGATGTGGAATTTAGATAAAATTTCAAGATTTTTTTTTGTGTATTCCTTCCTCCCCCTCTTTATTATTCTGTATTTCATTCGCTCTTTTAAGATTCACAAGAAGAGGCTTATAACATTCAGCAAAGAGCCAAAGAACGATCGGAGGGACGTGTGAATTCCAAGACACCTCAAGGCAGTCCTTCATTTACAGGTAATATAACGGTCCCTCTTTACAAATATTATCTTTTTAAATTAGACGACTTGAAATGGGGTAAAACTAAAACTGGTTTAGATTGCCTGCACTATAAAATAAAAGGAATAACAAAAAAAAAAAGACATTTTGTTCAATACATCAAATCATATATTTTTAAAGGCAGCTTTTTCAGTATAATATCCATGGAGTTTTGGACTTGTCTCATATATCGGTATACAGATAAAGCATAAATGAGAAACGAAATTCCAAGACACCTCAATACATTACTTGATCTAAAGGTAACATAATGGTGCCCCTTTAAAATTAAAATTTAAGACGACTAGCAATTGTGTAAAATTAAAACTGGTTCCCTCTTCACAAATATCATCTTTTTAAATTGGACGACTTGAAATGGGGTAAAATTAAAACTGGTTTAGATTGCCTGCACTCTAAAAAAAAATTGAATTACAAAACAAACAATTTATTCAAAACATCAAATCATATATTTTCAAAGTCGTAGGCAGCTTTTTTCAGTATAATATCCATGGAGTTTTGTACTTTTCTCATATATCGGTATATAGATAAAGCATAAATGAGAAACGAAATTCCAAGACACCTGAAGACATTACTTGATCTATATGTAACATAATGGTGCCCCTTTAAAAATATCATATTGGACGACTAGAAATTGTGTAAAATTAAAACTAATTTTGATTGCAGCCCTCTCGGCTAAATGGAATTAAAAAAGAAATTGTTCAAAACATCAAATCATATATTTTTAAAGTCGTAGTCAGCTTTTTTCATTTCGCTACCCAGGGATTTTTTGTTCTACTCATATCTTGGTATATAGCTAAAACATTAATACGAAACAAATGTTTTATTTATCAACTAATAAGCGCCACATAATAATCTATATACTATGCAATTTAATTTTAGAAATTAATGAAGGATGTTGAATTTAGATAAAATTTCAAGAATTTGTGTATTCCTTCCTCCCCTTCTTTATTATTCTGTATTTCATTCGCTCTTTTAAGATTCACAAGAAGAGGCTAATAACATTCAGCAAAGAGCCAAAGAACGATCGGAGGGACGTGTGAATTCCAAGACACCTCAAGGCAGTCCTCCATTTACAGGTAATATAACGGTTCCCTCTTCACAAATATCATCGTTTTTAATTGGACGACTTAAAATGGGTAAAATTAAAACAGGGGCCCGTTTCATAAAACTTGTTATCTATAACAACTGCTAAATTTATATGACAAATTTGTTCTCAGCCAATCAGATGCCAGGTTTCAGTAGCTTATAACAGTAGCTTATAACTTGTTATTGGTATTGAGTTTTATGAAACAGGGCCCTGGTTTAGATTGCCTGCACTCTAAAATAAATGGAATTAAAAAAATAAAAAAAATTCAAAACATCAAATCCTATATTTGTAAAGTCGTAGGCAGCTTTTTCATTATAATATCCATGGATGTAAGGCTTCCTGGGAGAATTTCAATAATTTAAACATATGTGTCGCTTACGCCCAGTAAATAAGATCGATTGATCGATCTGTAATTGAAAAACAAGTCAAAAAAAATATTGGAACCAGCGGGATTTGAACCTGCCATCTACTGCTTGCCGAGCAGCGACTCTACCACCAGGCCATCACTGGACAATGGCACATTCACGATGAACTAGAAACAAATACCCAAAGCTCTCCTGATTCATTCTGACTTAATAATGTTCATTACATTTTTTCTGACTTGTTTTTCAATTACATATCGATAAGTCGATCTTATTTACTGGGTGTAAGTAACAAATATGTCTAAACTAATATCAATGGAGTTTTGAAGTTTTCTCATATATCAGTATATAGATAAAGCATAAATGTGAGACGAAATTCCAAGACACCTCAAGACAGTACTCGATTTACATGTAATATAAAGGTGCCCCTTTTAAAAAATTGTTTACAACATCATATTATTTATTCATTTATAAAGTCGTAGGCAGCTTCTTTCAATATGATAGCCACGGAGTCTTGTAGTTTTCTCATTATATATTTATATAGATAAAATAATGCCAAACAAAATTCCAAGACAACTCAAGACAGTACTCGATCTATAGGTAACATAAATGTGCCCCTTTAAAAATATAACCTTATCATATTGGACGACTAGAAATTGTGTAAATTTAAACTGATTTAGATTGCAGCCATCTCAGCTTAATGGAATTAGAACCAAACAAATTGTTCATAACATCAATCATACATTTGTAAATTCGTAGTCAGCTTTTTTTTCATTTCGATGCCCATGGATTTCTTGTTCTTCTATTATCTTAGTATATAGCTAAAACATTAATTCGAAACAAATGTTTTATTAATCAACTACTAAGCGCCAAAGTATAATTTATATATTATGAAATTTCGTTTTAGAAATTAATGAAGGATGTTGAATTTAGATATAATCTCAAGAAAATGTTTCTTTCTTTATCCCTTGCTCTCCCTCTTTTTTTTTCTGTATTTCATTCGCTCTTTTTAGATTCACAAGAAGAGCCTGATAACATTCAGCAAAGAGCCCCAAAAACATCGGAGGGACGTGTGGATTCCAAGACACCTCAAGACGGTCCTCCATTTACAGGTAATTTAACGGTTCCCTCTTTACAAATATCATCTTTTTAAATTGGACGACTTGAAATGGGGTAAAAGTAAAACTGGTTTAAATTGTCTGCACTCTAAGATAAATTGAATTTGTTTAAAGAGTTTGTTTACAACATCATAACATATATGTATAAAGTCGTAAGCAGCTTCTGTCATTATGATAGCCATGTAGTATTCTTTTTTTCTTTAATCCTAATATATGTATATAAATAAAGCATAACAATGCGAAACAACTTTTGTAATAATTTACTACTAAGCGCTAAAGAATATTGTATATACTATAACACAAATTCCTTAAAATTAATGAAGGATGTAGAATTTAGATATAAGCTCAACAAAATTTGTATCTCTGTATCTCTTTCACGTCCCTCTTTTCTCTGTTTTTCGTTCGCTCTTTTTTTAGTTTCTCAAGCAGAGGCTGATAAAAAAGAACAAGGAGCCCCAGAACCACTGATGGGAAGTGTGGATTCCACGACACTTGAATATCATACTCAATATACAGGTAATATATCGTAGCCCCTTGAAATGAATCCACTTTTTTCCTTTCACGACTAGCTATTCGTTTAAACTGAGATTGGAAACGATTGATTGCCTACATTCTTAGTTAAATTGAATTAAAACCACGGGTTTTTTTAAAGCATCTGCATATAACTTTTTAAAGTCTTTGTCCTTTTTTCGCATTTCGATAGCCATAGAGTTTTTGGAATCATATACATATAGTTTTGAATTTGCATCCATCGCTCTTCCTTCTGACATAATTCTGTCCTTAGGCTGATGGCGATTTTTTTTGCATTTGAGGAAGGATATGCCATTGTAAGTTAAAACGGGCGCTCTTATTTTGTAATAACTTATACATAAAAGGGACATTTGATAGCGTTAAAAATGACTACGATTCTTTTTTTTAAGGTGCGCATTTCGTTTCAATCACAGTTTAAGTATTGTGCTTCTGCCCCCCTGGGCTCTGCGTAATTTTGATTAGTGTCATTTTTTTTTTTTTTTTTGGGGGGGGGTCGAAATTTACATCTATTAACAAACTTGATTTTTATTTTTCATTAACATAATTATTTGGAACATATTATATAAATTATATAAATAATTGATTATCAACTAATACATACTATTTGTAAACGTATTCAACAAAGTAATACATAAACTATCAACATACAGTGTATATATTTACAAATTGTTTGTCTTTTATGTTTAGGTATTACATTTAAAATACCTTTTCCAAAAAGAAATCAGGGTCATTTAACAGACAAATAAATATAAAAACCCGGACCTGGTTTCATAAAGTACCTACAAAAGCAAACAGAGACACTACACCCTAACACAACACGCATCAACAATAACAACAGCAATTACAAAAAATAAGAAAATAATGTAACGATACAGACACCATTTAGGGTGTTCGTGGCTGCCTCCCTCTTGTCAGTTTGGAGGAATGTAACAACACAAACAGCTTTACAACTAACTTCTTAGATTGTTATAATTGTGGAACACCAACAGCGATTGGCTAACTCAGAGAAAAAATATGGTGTAGGGCTGGACAAAAGTTAAAAAATCTCTTTATACAACCAGCAAGCGTAACAATATACATAAGACCGAGAATAACATTGTATAAGACTTTTAGCCCAGTACACACGTGACTAGCTCGCGTCTGGAAAAAAGTGACGGTCGATGCTCTTTTTGCAACGAAGAATTATAAACCACACCATATTAATTTTGTTCTTCCGCTCCCCCAGGATTTCAATATTTTGCAAATCAATTTTCACTAATTTTTTTTCAACCAAGGACAAAAGATATTTTATTATTCTACTCTTGTGAAAAACATTATACCTAAGGCCACTATATACGAATCAAACAAATCGCCGAAAGGAAAGGCAAAAAACATACATTAACACAGAGTAAAGTGGCAATAAATACATATGGTAATGCCCTCCATTGAGGTTGTATAAAAAGTGGGCCTGTTATTACAAAACTATCAGATTTAAACCTAGGTTTAACGTTATGTCTTTGAAGTCAGGTTTAACATAAACTTAGGTTTAAGTCTGGTCTAACTGTGTAGAAACCGTACAGATTTCTAAACCAGGGGTACACCTAGTTTAAGCCTGGCTAAAGTCAGGTCTAACTATTTTTCGACATGGCGTATTTATTACATATCGAGAGAAGAAGAAACCGTTACGACCAATTACTGCAAATTATTAGACTCGAGAGACCTCTCATTGAAAGAAAATATTGCCTGCACATATACGTTGACGAGGATGTTTTGCATCGCTGTCGTTTTACCAAACAAACGGCGATTTACAGACCCGATACTTGCTAGCTAGGTGGGTCCAGCACTAAAGAAGACACACATCGCGTGCGAATGCTGGTGCCGACCGCCTTGCGATTTTTATGCCGTTGGCAAGTTTGAACATTAGTTTTGGTACTTGTGTTGCTTGTTGAATCTTTATGTCTAATATTTTCCAAATCTTAAGGATTTATATTTGGGATAAGTTTGTGTGATTTTCATTGTGCGACAATCTTTGAAACTAAAAAGTTGCCAAATTAAATTGACGCGTATCACTTTGTTGCAGAGTAAAACAAATACAGTAGCGCCACACCTTTAGTGTGACGTTAAGTTCACTTACTTTGAAGCTGTGAATGCAATTGACGTGTTTGAATTGCGTCCCAACGATGTAAACAAATGCGAGTTAAAATTTAATTGTAAGGTTGGATTCCAGTTAGAGTAAATCCTGTACATCTAGATTTATATTTATAAGGCAATCATTGATTGATTAAGAGCCAACAAACGTATTCAGCTAGAACTCTAGTAGGGTTTTGGGTAATTCTACAATATCTGCCAAGATTAGTAAAAACTTCCGGAACACCCTAAAAATAAGAAATCTTAATAAGATTGAAAAGACTAACAGAGAAACTGAACGTGATCAAAAATACCTTCTTGATGCAGAATAACTAGTCCAAGGTCGCACGCACCGTGACCGGGACGTGGATCGCAATACATCCACTTCTCGGCCGTCATACTTACGTAAACAAGGTTTGAAAAAGGATTGCATTGTCCTTAACAAATGTCTACAATTCAACCAATTGAGCTTCAATGTTGACCTTGAACTAGTTATTCTGCATCAAGAAGGTATTTTAAATCATTTTTAGTGTCATTTTATAAAGTCATTTTAATCGTATCTATAGCATTTTTAGGATTTTCTGGAAGTTTTGAATAATCTGGGAAGAAATTGTAGAATTGTCAAGTTATGTATATAATTTGTATTTAATATGTTTAAAGGCCAATTCAGACATAAGCCTAGATTCAAACTTTTTCAGCAGATAACAAAATTATAATCAAAGAGTAATACAAATAAAAAAATCACGCCATAACATTCAACGGGTGCTTCGAAAGAAATGCTTTGGTGTCAGATGTTTTGAATTGAAATTATTACATTTGTAGCACGAAACCCAGCTAGCAGCTACCCTGGAAGATGGGTGAGCTGTACTGAGCATGTGCAGTAGAAGTAGACTACATCTCCATAGTAGTTAAACATTGGCCTAACTTCAAACCTGGGTTCAAGTTTAGGCTATACTTAAACCCGGGTTTAGCTGAACCTGGCTTTCTGATACTGAAATGGAACTTTGACTTGAAGTCTGGCTTTAAAACACCCAGGTTTAAATTTAAATCCGGGTTTTATTCAACAAGACTTCAGAATACAGGCCATTGTTTGTTCTAATTCTTTTTTTTTCTTTTTTTTTGTAATTATGTAATGTTATGTGTTTGTCATGTGTGTATTGTGTATATTTAAGAGACTATGTCTTATAATTGTTTGGTCATCGAAAATTGCATACATCTGGGTGGAGAGTGGCATGTGCAAAGTAATGTATTGCGAAAGGACATTAGTGCTGCAGCGGAACAAGTATCATGCGATCCACAGTCCGCCGAAGTATTCACTAGACCACGGCACCTGAAGTAAGATTTCAACCCTTAGTAACATTTTCTAGATTTTTCAAACTGTCGATTGAATCTGGTCTACCCGAAAGTACTGGCCCGTCTCCTGATCTAGTGGTAATTGCGGCATTGTCGTTCTATGCCACCGAACCGAGTTCGATTTACGGTTGAGACACTTCTTCATTTTTTTTTAAGAATGAAAGCAACGCAAAAAAGAAGGACAGAAATAAGGAAGTCTGTTAGAGCTACATACCATTATTCTCAAATTTTCATTTCTTGTAATCGCCTTCATAATTGCAAACGAGTCAATCAATTTGTGTCAGATTATGGTATCACGAAAAAAAGAAAAGGAAAAGTATAATAGGCAAACATAACGAAAGGTAAGCATTACGACGTATCTTAGGGAAATGTAAGCTTTAAAAGATGATAAGGCAAGGTTAACATCCATATAAATAACCTATTGAAAAAAAAAAACGGCGAATACCCATTCCCTGAATGACAAGGGCGTACTGCTTCACGTTTCCTCCAATAAATAAATATCACTCGAGCCATGAACAGTGTCCCTTTACTGATTGAAAATAGTGCTCATCCTGGAAAATTACAATGTACATGGTTTATTTTCTGCCTATGTGGCCATTAGACAAAACCTATTCCCCTTTATACAAATTGAAGGTGCCCCCGTACCTCGACTCTTGCGAAAATATTATCGGACTCTCTGTTTCGATCTTTAAAAAGTTACGGTTCTAAACAACTCTAAAATAACTGTTCATAGCAGTTTAAGAACAAGAACAAAAATAGATAAGGTACATACAATGTAATATGCACTCATCATCGAGATTATCTCTACTATCCCTTTGTTTATAGTGATGTCAATAACCTTGCCCTCATTATTATATAAAAGAAGTACATTTAAACCAATTTCTCATTCGGCTTTACAGTTTATGTTCCCTTTATAGGTCGTGTTAGCGTGTGATACGAATGTTTTCAACCATGTACACTGTTTCATCCAAATCTGGCATAATCCGACTTTGACTCGTCATTCTTAAAACAATGTTGCTCGGGAGATTTATATACTAATGTAATAATTCTATAATTTGAAAGCACATTAATTATGATGTATTAGAAGCAAATAATATTATTTGTACAACTCATAGTTTCTTCACAATATCCGTTCGTTTTCGGGTTTCGTTTTCTTGGACCCATTTAGTATATACACAACCATGCATGCATACATATCGATGATGATCTAGGTGCTGATGCATGCAGCAGAGATGATATTCTGGCATTCATTGACACACTCAGCGAAACAGCAACGTACTATTAGTGAATATCAGCCAAACATGTCAAACGTCAGTGTCCAGTTCCTTGGCATGTATGTCACCAACAAAGTTATGAGCATCACAATATCACTACATTCCCATGCTTAATACCTCAACTATAAATCATCACATCCACCTGCATGTAAGAAATGTGTACCCTTGTCACAACATTCTCGCATTCGTTGACTTTGCTCAGAAGAGGAAAACTCCACCGTGCTGATATGATAGGGTACTTCAAACAACGAAATAAGATAGAAGGGTGCCACTTAAAGCCGGATACCGCCGGTACTCACCTATTGCCCTAAGAGTGAGCGTCTTGCCAAGTCAGTGAGGGAGAATGTTAAGTAGTTAAGGGGCAACCCTTCAATAAAGGACATTTTCGATGTGCTTCCTCTTAAGGCGAACCGAAAAGACCACTCCCTTCACCAGCTCATAATGACATCTAAGCTAGCCAACCCGGTGTAATTTATAAGATCTAGACCTTGCGAGAGGCCTCGATTTAATACATGTCATGTTACTCTTCACTTGCACTGCCAATAACTGTATCTACGCGATCAACTCCACCAATTGCCATCATCTCTACGTCGGGGAAACCAAGAGGAGATTATCCGACAGAGTGAAAGAATATCTAAGTTATATCAAGATCATGACGGCCGGCCTCCCCGTGGCACAGCATTTCAACAGGCCTAACCACAGCACGAATGACTTCCAAGTGACCGTCCTAATGGATGCTATCTAATTGAGGAAATTGAGGAACGCTTTTAATATCTACTACCTCGGCTGTCTCATAACTCGTGGGATGAACTTTTTTCCCTTTATTTCACATTGTTTCATTTTTTTTCGGGGGGGGGGGTCGTTTTCTCGTTTTCTTTCTTTTTACTCTCCATCTTTCGTTTCTCTTTTATTCTTGTTTACTGCTGTTTTCTACCCCCTTTTCTCTCTCTCTCTCTCTCCTTCTCTTTTTCTTCTCTCGTGCTCATTTTCTTCCGTTAGTGATTTCTTTTTCCGCGCACTCCCAGTTTTGTATTCGTTTCTTCAACTTTCCTTGCACACTTATTCTCTTTGTTTTCTGAACATTGTTTCATTTTTTTTCGGGGGGGGGGGGGTCGTTTTCTCGTTTTCTTTCTTTTTACTCTCCATCTTTCGTTTCTCTTTTATTCTTGTTTACTGCTGTTTTCTACCCCCTTTTCTCTCTCTCTCTCTCTTTTTCTCTTTTTCTTCTCTCGTGCTCATTTTCTTCCGTTAGTGATTTCTTTTTCCGCGCACTCTCTGTTTTTTATTCGTTTCTTCAACTTTCCTTGCACACTTATTCTCTTTGTTTTCTGAATAATGCCCACTCACCAACTGTTGCGCCACTTTTTATGTGTTTTGAATAAACTTGTCATTACTTGACGAAGGCTTTAAGCCGAAGATTCGTATATTTTGTATCTCCTACGGTTTTATTAATTCTTCTTCAAACATATTTATAATTTTGTATACGTGTGTGTTTTATAGGGTGAAATGGTTTATTCTTCCATGAAGTTAATTATAAATTTGGTTTCGACCGAAGACTCATGAGCGACTGAAATAAGCTTACTTGTGGGGCCGAAGAAAACACAAGAATTGTATCATTGCAGTCTTTAATCAATAACGAAACTATTGTCTTCATCCTTTTTATCAAAAGAACATTGGAATTTAGGAACTTTATGCTATTTGTAATGATAGCTGTAGTACAGACGACTTTACATCTGAGCTAAATAACATTTCATATTTCACAGCTCACAGTTCAGTAAAAAATGAGAGAGGTAGAGAAAAATAGAGAGACAACGCGAAAGGAAACATGACAAACATGAAGAAAAAACAATAAAGCTAATCACAAACACGGATAATTCTTACATTCTGTAAATGACATAAAGTATAATAACAGGGTAAACATATGTATATGTGCTTGGCAGTGAGGCAACATGGAGGACATTTAAAGGAATTTGAAATATGTGAGTTTTGTGCCCTATAAATAACCCCTTGTGCAGTAGTAGTAACCGTTCTTAGGGTTAATCGACATATTATAATAAAGGGAAACTCATTTCAAATTTTGGAAATTATAATGTTCCTTGGCATAATAAGGATAACAAGGCATGGGCTATGAAATGCATTTCATGGGCGATTTGCAAAGGAAAAAGTTCTTAAGAACATTTCCGCGAGCGTTAAACATCATCGTCTCTATTTATTTATTGCGTGACGTGAAGAATATAAATGTTTAAGATAATGCCATATTGCTTCACTTTGTAATACATTTTGTTTAACTCTAAAGTACTCAAAACTGAAAGGAAAGGACGTTCCATTTAAGCCAGGAGCATAATAGGTCCATGCAAACCAATACCAATCGTGATGTGCAACCTTATGGTGGACATGCCACCAGACAGGTTTCGTGATGTATATATTTATTTACTTTATATACACACATTGAGGGGATTTTTTTTTCAAGTAATATTTTGAAAGGAGGGACCCTCTCAGACTTGTAATTCAATGTTATTGAAATAATTATAGTAATATTCCATGTTATTTGCATGATTTAGGAATGTTATTACATAAAATATGTACCAGTCTTTATAGGTAATCGTAATATTCAAAGCCAAATCACGGAATCTGTCTTGTTAACGGTCTGACAAAAACAAAAGATATGTATTCAATCACATACCTGTAATAATAAACACATTAACTCACTACAGCTGTGAGAAGTAAGCTTCCCATAGCAAGCGGCGAGTAACAAGCCTTCTCATAGGAACGTCAAACATCGACACAGTATTCATGTAATTTGTTAGAAATTGTTTAATACACGACTATCGTATTTAAAAGACGTTATTCGTGCCATATAACTTAAACGTTTTTGTTATAATAACAATATAATACTTTTAAAAAAGTGGCAACTTAATTTCGTATAATGTATGTGTGTGATCAACTTGACATACACGGTATAATAAGGAACAAGCGATTGTCACTATAAAAACAAATGTTTAAAACATTTACAAGTTCTTGCTCGTTTAATATTCCTTAGAGATATTTTAAATGTGATAGCAAGGCAACAGTCAGAAACCCCAAGCGATATGGTACCCGATGATAAAAACGGTATAATATGCTTTATACTTTTATACACGTATTTAATTTTTCTCTCGTTCCAAAGATCCCGATGTTCCAAACTGTTTTTTTTTATGAAAACGAAGAAAACAGATGCAGATCTCTAGTTTCGTCATTAATCAAAGATAATACAAAAGCTGTGATGAAACAATTCTTAGTTTATTTTATTTTTTCAGCCCCACCAGACAGCATGGACGACAAAGATCAGATAATACTCCTTCTTGAGGACATCAAAAACAGACTCTGTAGTAAGAAATCCTTCTTTGAACCATTCAAGGCAATGACCCAGGCAATCAAAGGGTTATCAGATGCAGACCTTGCTAAGGCTATGGCCAACTTTGGAAAACAATGATCAGATGACGGTGGAGTTAAAATGACCATTTGAGAATATAATTCATAAATATAATTCGTTATTGACCTCTGGCACGAACTGTTCCACTCGCCTTGCCCCAATCGTTTCGATCTCGTCATTTATATATGGGATCTGAATATTGCAAAGCACAAGCCAGTTTAATGCTCAACCACTTTTGAAAAAAATGTTATTAACCCTTTTTCAGAGATATCTGGGTCCGGTAAAGACCCCACTGCATATCAACCCCATCGGAATAATCCTAGATAGAAAATCAATAATGATGTACTATATTTTAAATTTTGGTTTTGTTAAAGGTGTACGCAATGTCAACGATATTGTTTGTTAATTGATGAATCTTTTTTTCTTCTTTTTTGAATTTCAACAAAGATACGACGTACAATTTAAACTTCTTAAATAGTATGGCTTGTGTAATGCTATTCGATCAGGTCTGAGGAAAAAAGTTACACCAAAGAAAATGGAACCTCCACGTATTATTCCTGAAGTATTGCTTCTAATGTTCATTTATTTACTAGGCGCTTTTGAGTTACAGAATAACATAGGGTAAACGTGTCATGAAATGGAAATAAACGTTTGAATTTGTACATATTGTATGGAGTTTATATTACTAAAATTCGTTTTAAATCAATTATTGATGTAAACTGTTCCAATCCAAATTATTGAATATAAGCATTTGCAAGAAGGCACATTGTTGGGATTTAAATAAGTAACCGAGTATGCACCTTTTGTAGTAACGGAGAATGAATAACGACGAATGTATTTTGTTCATGTCCTTATTGAAATGTAAAATGGTCACAGTTTGAGCTGTCGGTATCCTGTAATAAGATAAAGATTAATCTTTACAACTTCGAGTGAAACTATTTGGTTTTTATTGACGCCATACTAGTACTCTCAATAATGTATTCTGATGCATGATGGTGGCAAGATTATTGTTTGTTAAAGCCAAGTGCCAAAACTGTTTAACGCTTACAGTATAATGTCTGTGATAAAAAAAAATATTATGAAATCGAAAAGTATGCAGGGGAAATAAATATAACATAACAAAATTCGTTTCAAAGTATTAAATTGTGTTATTGTGTTTATCTTAAAAGCCATCTCCTGTCGCATATATTTATAACGATTTGTGTTTAACATGGTATAAAACAATGAGTTGCCAGTGTATGTTTTTCTTGTTTTTGACAGGTGTTAAGTGATGTCAACATGACATTTTGTATATCTTTATATGATATTACGTATATATGTTGTCTCATAGCATACAAATATTGAATGCTCATGAGTTCAAGATAATACTCAAATAAAGCATGCACTCAGAGGCTCCGGTTGAAATTATGAATTGTCTGAGGTGACTGGCATAGTAATATTTTATGAAGGGCGCATCTATGCATATTACCGAAGAGTAACCATAAGTGTATCAGTGCTTTGAGATCATTGCATTGTGTTTATGATGTATACCTTTCATTACCCCCCCCCACACCCTTAATGAAAGAGGGGTGTAAATTATTCATAAAACTGACAATGAGATGGAATATAAATTTTTGTCCGAAGCTGAACAAGAAGGTACATCTGGTTTATCTCCTTATCTCCGCTAAAATAGATGGCACACAATTCTGAAAAAATATTCCCACCAGTGAAACATTAATCGGAATATTTGTAATGATGAAGAGGCTAAGCTTCGCATCTTATGTTCAAATTAAATAAAACAGATCGTTTTTTGTAAAGTCAACTAGTTAACCTTGTAAATAATTTTATTCTGAGATAAATTCAAACAATATTTGATAAATTCTTATGCTTGTATAGAATACTCAAATTTGCTAAGCATGTTCCTGTAAAGAAAGATATAAGAAATTAAACAGCTGAATTTACACTGCAACAAAAACTCGTCACTGTTTTCTCATACACACAGAGAAAAAGAGGTGTAAATGTACTCCCTATAGGGAGTAAATGCTTGTCGCATAAGTGAAATCCCTCAAGGAGTAAATTTACTCCCCAATGTTGAGAGTAAATGTGCACCCCACTATGAGGTGTAAATTTACACGCCAAGGCTATGATTTTACTCCTTTTAAGAAGTGAAATTTGCGTTTAATTAACACCTTTTGGTTCCATTTTCATGAAAAATGTGTTCAAATTTACACCCTTGGGGTAGAATTTTATACCCTATATGATCGATTCCACACACTGTGAGGATTAAAACCTACACCCTTCTTATGCACAGCATCAACCAATTGATCATCCCTCGAGCAATCAATCATCCATGCTTCGTAATCACCCAACAGTCACTTATTCTCACCCTTTTGTCTACGTTTCATTGCTCTAAAGAAATCAGACCGGAATATTTGGGTGAGGCTGGCCTGTATGGACGTGTCGGATCAAATTTAGTGGAAATATCTAAAACAATCCTGCCTCCCCGAACATCTTTCCTTTACTTACACGCATAAGACGGCAATTATGTACTAGTAAGTGAAACAACACTTCTACTAATTGCATTAAAGTATCAAATATAACCTTCGGTAGAACCCCTTATTCTTGATCTGATAACTTTCACACAAATAATATGCCCAAATGAAACATGATAATTCCCCTAACATGACTAAAATATGTAAATTATGCTAATTTTCCTTTATTTGGCAGTAGCTATATCGACACGATGAGCCGTTGCTGTAGCGCATGCGCAAATGCACTCACAATAGACAAATAAATTGACCAATAAGAGCTCGTCTGACTAAAACAGGGTGTAAAATTACACCCATCAAATGACTTGTTTGTACACCCTTGCGTATTTCCGTGTTTTACTCCCTAAAAGGTGTAATAGGGGACGTCCTATGTTTCCTATTTCGTTTTAATCCCCAAGCATGACGAAAACTCGTCGTTTAAAATTGAAACCCCCATTTGACTTTCACCATTTCTACTTGTACTAGAGCTGAGATTGTGATAAGCCCTAAGTAAACACTAGCGCTGTAATCCACCCCCACCGAGACCTTGATGAGGTGATAGCGAGAGAGAGATAAGCATGATACAAGGGGAAAGGAAGGGAGAAGGGAGAAAGAGACACATGCAGGGGTTCGCTGCCAGAGTTAAAATTGTTGTTATATCGCCAATTATGGGTCATTTTGCTTCGTTCGAACTTTCATTTTGGTCTTCATCTAAATTATTAGTGACTTTAGGACATGAAAATATCTTAAAACAAGTAAAATACTTATTTCCTACTTCTCATTTCCTTTCAGGCAGACCCCAGTAAGAGTTTGTTTACACTAGTATTACGTAAGATGATGTAGAGTCCAGCTGCAATCCAATATCTTAATCTCTCACTCAAAGCCTCAAGGCTCTGTCCAAGTTTTTAACGAGAGAATTGAAAGTGGGGTAGTGAGACCCCATCAGATTCCCATTGGTGCCTGTGTAATAGTAGTAGCTCTCTCAAAGTTTTAACGAGAGAAACGAAACTGGGGTATTGCTACCCCACCAGATTACAAAGTTTTAACGAGAGAAACGAATCTGGGGTAGTGCTACCCCACCAGATTACTTTGACTGTTGTGCTATAGTGGTGGGGTATAGTTTTAACGAGAGCTTTTCGTAATGGAACACCTTTTATTTCTCTGTGTGTATTCCGGTGTTTCGTAAGCAGTTGCCTATCAACTACCAGCAAACACCAGGAAAAATCAAAATCGGAAAATGCAGTAACGTTTCATAATTCATAATTCCTTGCCTAAAGCGCAGTGCAAAGTAGGACGCTTACTGCGTATACAGCTGAATTGAAGGCGCGTACTCTTGATTTGCTTAATAATGCGCACTTAAAGGTAAAGACCAGTATTGGAAACGCCCCAATTTTAAAAAATGAAATGGAAGCTCTTATTACCAATCATGTGAAAGAATATGTTTTGAATATTACATGACGATAACAATTTTGACAGGAAACCGCCTACTAATTGATATAATTTGGTAAATTAGTATATCTATATACTGTTGAGAGATACAAATGCACGTTTCGCGCACGTGTGTGTAGTTCCATATACATCTTTCTGTGTACAGTGCTTCTAACTTTATGAAGACTTGGCCAAATGTTGATGATTCCAGAACCTTGCACTACATCTATGCTAGATGATTAACCTTTTATAATCGATTTCACAACGTTTCTTTCACTATGCAACTGCATGGCCATAACTGGTTTTTAGCTTTAAAGACGTGTTTATAGGCCCGTTTACACATCCCAAGCACTATTTTCCAAAACAAATGTTTTGTTTACACTAAAGGAAGAAAGAAAAAAACCCATTAGGGTTTGCTCATACCAATTTCTTTGGTGAGTAGTGCGCAGGCGCGACTTGTCGCTACTCTGCGTACGATCGAAAAAGAGTGGAGAAGAGTCGCAATATGAAAAATTGATCCGTACCAAAGTTTCGATTAACACTTTGTTTTTTGATTTTTTTTTTCCGTCGTGGTTGCTTGTATTAAAAAAAAACACTGGATCTTGCGATTTTTGCTTGCAGTGTAAAATTGTGCAACTAATGAGACACTGAAGAAACAAATTAATATTTTGTTTAGCCTTATCTACCATTTAAGACAAACGATACAACTGATAGTGGGTTATGTTTATCTCAAGATGATGGCAACATTTTGTCTAGTTCAGCATCAGACAGTATGTTCATTTAGAAGATACATTTCAAAGGAAGTAAACCGGCAGGTCTCAGCTATTTATTTTTGTTCAATCTTCATACACGTGGTAGTTCTTGGTTCTTGACCTAGCTACGCCATATCATATTATGATGTTGATACACACAGAAAGATCAAAATGTACTCTTTCTACATATGATAATTTTTGTTGACGGTGAAAATTAGCACTGAATTGCAAACAAACTTAATCTCGCTTTGCCAATATCAAAACCTAAATGTCCATTCGAGCTTCCTCCTGGACATGATTTTTATACATTGGAAAGGAAACTTGAATATCTAATTTCTAAATTGAGACCAAAACCATGCAAAATGAGTGATTC